GACAGAGACTAACCATCTGTACGGGACAGGATTACATGTTATATTGCACGAGTATGTGCGCAAGTACAGGTGCTCTCTCTATTTCCTTATTCTCGCAGTACTTGATTGCCAGTGATGACATATGGATCCTAGACATTGGTTCTTTAATCCTGGCCGTATGAGGAAGCTTAAAATCGCTTAGCAAGTAATTTTTTAAGTTAATAATAAAGTGGGCCGTTCTTGAAATATCTCTGGGTGATAAACTTAAAAATGGGGATATCCACAGCAGAACAATGAGCCGACCATACAACTCGAAAAACCAACAACTGATGGGGAAGCGAAGTATACTGCGGTCCCCCACTACATAGAATGTCGACGTGGTAAGAAATGCAGGAGATCGATGGACGCAGTTGATTCAGATCTGTGCTTTGTGGCATTCCTTAGGAAGGATCAGCAGTGATCTTGATAGGAATCTGATGATGAAGTTGATTGTTCCACTCGAAGGGGTAAAAAATAACTTTAAAAGAAAAGTAAACGCCGAGTTCAAAAAACAAAACTATTAAATAAAATTCACATCGTCTTATGGGTGTCGTAAGAGGCGACAGAGCGAAACAGAAAAAGTAGATCGCCAGCAGTATCTTCCTGTTAGGCGAAAATTCCCCTGTAAGGAAATCTATAGAGGAGGTCTACGATCACCGGTTATAAGCTGTGGTAGCAACTATGGTATTTTGTTGAAGTTATTTCTTAGCATGTTCTTGGACTATTATAAAACATCAACACCGATAAACGTATATCAGCTATAGGCTATATTAATTTTTTAAAATTTTTTTTTGGCAACAAACAGTCGTATACAAAAGGAAATAAAATACAAACAACTTATCTATTAGAAATTCACATACAATGCCGAAAAGTTAAAAGCAATTTAAAAGAAAGTTACATGGTAACACTACACAGTGACTATTTACATAACAAAAAAAAAACTAGTTAAATACTTACTTACTTACTTATCTTCACGCACAATCCCTAACGGGGTAGCCAGAGAGAACAGATCGCCAAGTATCATGATCCTTACATACCTCTTTCGCTTCTTTCATGTTCATTAACTTCTTACTCGTATCCGAGTACTCTTGACCTTCCCCTCTTCGAGTAATTTGCTCACATGGTCTTCGAAAGTTAGTCTCGGTCTACCTCGACACCTTTTAATATTTACTTTCGCGCTATATATTTTCTTCACCATTCGGTCTTCACTCATTCGCTCAACGTGCCCATACCATCGGAGTACGCCCTTATCAATTTTTGTGATAAGGTCATCTTTCAATCCTGCCATATTGCGAATCTCTTCGTTTCGCTTTCGTTCGGCTATGGTAACGCCGCACATTTTACGAAGAGATCGCATCTCCAGTACATTCAACTTGCATTTATGCTTCTTCTGTCATACCCAGGTTTCGCTGCCATATATCAAAGTCGGCACTAACACTGCGTTATATATTGCAAGGCGTGCACTCTTCACTACGCCTTGCCTTTTGACTAGCGCATTCAGGGTACCATTGAATTTGTTCCCGGCAGCGACACACCTGTCCACATCTAAATCATATCTTCCATCCCGGCTGAAAGCACTCCCCAAGTATACAATTTCATTTACCTGTTCTAGACATAGTTAAATACAATTTTTTTTATAATTAATATATAATATTGCCTGCATTGTCCGCCAGTTTCTATCCCTTCTGACTTACCCTTGACAGTTTGATCTACTCTGCCGAGTTTTATTTGTTTATTAAACCATATTTCATTTCATTAACGCTCTTTTATTAGTTTCTCATGTATCTATCTATCTATCTAGCTTTGTAATTGAATCTTTTAATATAATTTTCACCTACTTGCTGATTGAATTGTAAAATTTGCACTCGTGTCGAGGACTGATGATAATAAAATAATTTAAAAACTTTATCTTAGTATCCTGATCAGGATCACTAATATGATACTCTGTAGAATCATTATAACCCATGAGCAGAATGTTTTTTTTTTAGTTTTCTTACATTTCAATATTATTATTTAATATTATACTCCATGCTATAAACTTAATTACTAAAATTTTATTAATGTCTTTAGTGTAATATAAAATGAGTATACATATAGCACTGATTTCGGTAAGTCACTGGTTGGACACACTGAAAATCAGCGCCTTGGAAAAAAATTCATGGCATTATGCTGAGTGTGCTCCTGTTCCCAGATGACGCCTTGACACATACTAGTATAGGTATTGTATAGTTTGTAATATGTAGTATATTGTAATTTGTATTGTATAGCCAATATTATTTGTAAATTATGTGTTTTTTTTTTATGTTATTTGTGATGGCGTCATTTTGGAGAATAAACCTTTCTTTCTTTCTTTCTTTCTTTCTAATATAATAACATATTTTATAAGTATTATGAATCCCAATCAGATAAGTCCTCAATTTAACTAAGTATAATCAAATTAAATTAAATCTACGAATAATGTGGGGTCCAGCCAGAGGTTGCAAAAAAAGCAATTTTTATTTAATATATGAATAATTTACAATAATTATTACAATTAATTATTACAACTAAGTGAGGTGACTCTAATTCGAAGTTTGAATCTAGAATGAATTCACACGGTTAAATATTAGATCCAGATAATATAACACAGTAGACACGTTATGCTGACTCGGTGCCTCGTGATTGTCGTAAGCTGATGCAACGCTGCAGATCACCTAGATTAGGGCTGCGTTAACATACGTTACACCGAAAAAACTAATTATTTAAGAATTTTGTGGCGTTTTGTAATTTTTTTCTTATTTTCCAATATTTCCTTGTTTATTCAATGTATATAATGGTACAGTATTGGTAAGAAATCACTTTATTATTACTTTACTTAAAAAAATACGTGTGGCACTCGGGGACTGCCGCGGTAAAGCTATTGCATAATATTTTTGTCAACTTATGCAATTATAATTATTTATTTATGTAGTATTTTTTATTTGTTTTTTTCTTTGATTATTTGATATTCAAGTTACAGCAGCTATTCTACACTCATACGTCTAGTCGCACGCACACAAACACCGAGCCGAAGTCTGCCGAACTGAAGCGACGTTACGGCGCCTCTACACGTTGGCCAACACAGCCCAGCAAACATTTTTGTCATATAATCAAACATTTACCAGACTTTGAGTCTTTTTAAAGTTATTTTACAGTATTTTATTTTACTCTTCGTCACATACTGGTGCATTATGCGTCCGAATAGTCATATACATTTTTTGTCGCATAATAATGCCATGTAAACGTCCTTTCGACATTTTTTACAACAGTCATATAACGGCGTCTACGACGACGTCTATAAAACTTACTTATACAACTTTTCGTCGAGTAAACGTTTTCGTAGTATAAACGTGATAATACTGTCAATTTTGTCATATAATTACCTTTTTAAACATCTGCTAAACGGATAATAATTGTTTAAACGTAGTATTTGTGACCATTATATATTAGTCGAATAAGTATTACGAGTGCTACCTGTATACGTCCTAGAGTATCTCAAACGTGATTATACGACCGCCATTTAACTAATACTCATATTAAAGATTTATAATAACCTTATATACAACATCCACCATTTTGAAATCCAATTTATGCGAAGAGAAGAGAAGGGAGAGAAGAGAGAAGTAGAGAAGGGTTCCGTATTACATTTAAATGCAAATGTAACCAATCAATTTAACCAAAATGCTACGGGTATACCCTGCAGTTCATTTTCCGAAGTTCAGAACTCTTGTTCATTTTCCGAAGTTGAAGACAGTTATTTATCGTCCGAAAATGAAGATAATGTTGATAAACTAGACACTTCAACCAAAAATGATGACTTCAGATACCATTATAAAAAGTGGGCTATTGATTTTAATATTCCACAAGTTGCATTAAAGCAATTAAATGTAATTCTAAACAAAAGAATGCCCTGTTTAGTCCTTTCAGACCCAAGGATGCTTTTTAAACGTAAATAAGATGTACAAATAATTCTTATTGACGATGGTCATTACTGGCATAATGGTCTTATTGAATCTTTAAAGACGATTTTACAAAACCTAAATGATAAACCGAAATGTGTTTCGCTTAATGTGAATATTGACGGACTACCATTGTTCAACAGCTCTAAGCATCAAGTGTGGCCTATATTATGTAACATCCACGAAATACCAAATTGGGGCACATTTGGTATTTTTGTATTACTTTTGTGGTGGGTATTTATGAAGGTACAAGTAAACCATCAAATGTATCCGCATTTTTTCATTTTTTTGTAAGTGAATTACAAGAATTAAATGTTTAATAATTTGAGAATTGCATCGCAAGATGGGGTCGATACATTGATCGAAGTTAGTCAGAGCCTTCATATGCAACTCGCCAGCAAGAGCCTTTGTTAAAGGTGAGTATCCTAATCCCAAATATGTAATTTAAAATTTTCTACTTTAAATTACATATTTGGGATTAGGACCTTTTCTACTTTTACATTCTTTTTTCTACTTTTCAAGTAATGTTTTATTCGAAACTGAAACAGTCATCCCGGTCAAAATCAGCCAGGAACTTCGTTGCATTATTGTACCGGCTTAGATGGTCAAGTGGCAGCAAGCGCTATGACATAAAAATGATTATGAGTTCGATAACCAACGGGAATATAGTGAAACGTTTTTGTTTAGTAGTAGTAATTTAAATAAAAGTGAATTAATTATATTTTATATTTTACAGGAGTATGCAAATTTAATGCCAAACATGGTTGCTTGAAATGTTCAGTGGTCGGCGAGTATAGTCATAAATCGCACACAGACGTATTTTACAAAGACTGATTGCCCACGCACTTTTATTATACAATTTTATTATTCAATTTATTATACACTTTTATTATTCATGGGTTGCAGTGGGCACGCACCATTAGGTGGAGCGTTAGTTCGTTCGTCACTTAGCATTATAACACACACACACACTCACACACATGAATGACTTAAAAAGTAACGCACGTATCCGTTGAGGTGCGCGGCGGGCGCGAGCGGAGGCGCAGGAGCGGGCGCGTGGAGCGGCGCGTGGCGCGGCGAGGCGGGCGCGCGCTTGTCTCGCTCGCGCAGCATGTTGCTTTGCGTGTCGATTCGTTTTAAGAGGTATGGAGATCACCACAAGTAAGATTCTCCTTTGCTAGCATTGCCAATAGATATGATTGAACAATTTCCTGTAGGAGATTCTCTACATATTATTGAATTGGGTGTTATGAAACGGTTAATAATTGGTTGGAGGGATGGAAATTTAGGAAATCTAATTACAAAATGGCCTGCAAGGGAAATAGGAAAAGTCTCTCAATTTTTGCTATGCTGTCAGATGCCAAAGAAAATACACAGGAGTATTGAGTTTCGAGCTTTTCTGCTCTATTTAAGTTTTGTGATATTAAAGGACGTATTAGATAATGCAGCATCTCATCATTTTCTGTTCTTTGTATCAGCTGTAACTATTTGTACAAGCGAGACACATTTTCAACTCCTACCAGTCGCAGAAACAATGTTAAAGCACTTCGTTGACAATTATGGCCAAGAGTACATTACAAACAATGTTCACAACTTAATACACGTAGTAGACGAAGTAAAGAGATTTTGAACCTTGCCGCTGATTAATAAAGAGACATAATATTGAAGTAGAGAACTTAAGAAACGATATTAGGCATAATTGCCCTACGATAAAGAGTTACAAATATGGAAGTAAACTTAAGACAGTGATTAAATTAGAATCTTTTATCCTCTCTACTGATAATGGAGATAAGTGGTTTCTTAATAACAACAACCACCTCGTTGAATTTTGTTCGGCTACTTGCAACGAGGGACGTATGCAGATAATTGGAAATCGAATTGAAAACTTAAGGAATGATGTTTTTGAAACGCCTATTAAATCTTCATATCTTCTATCTATGAGAACAAAATTTCGCAAACTGAAGCCATATATTATATTACTGATATAAAGTTGTAAGTTGGTTAGCGTTACATACAACTCAAATATATATTTTGCTCCGCTTACTCATACATTTAAGAAATAGGTAATAAAGAAGGCGGTAAAAAATGTTTATTATTTATTAATGTCATTAAAAATTACAAAAAATAAAATGTACCAAATATACATACAAAATCGCAACATAAAAATAAATGAAATTCAAATTAGTAATATTTTACCTGCTAATTAACTCTATAATTAAGAAATGGAATATCCACTGAAATTGAAAGATTTACCATTTTCTGTCGTCTCCACTATTTTAAAAGGCATTTTGCTAAAAAAACAACAAGTTATTATGGACAACAAAAACTTCCCAAGTATCGATTTGTTCCTAAGTTATCTTATTATAAATTTAACATTAGCTCTTTATATTATAATTCTACCTATTATGTTTTGTTGCTACTTGATAATTTGGGTTTCTTCAAATCTAAGAGCCAAGCACCCACTTCCTATTACTGACAACGTACTACAACCGACTGAACCTATAATACACTATATATATTATACTAAGCGAAAGTGCGCGAGCACATCGCCGCATTGGCCGGCCTAAAGAGCGAGCGAGAGCGACGTATTGGCTCTATGTTAGTACAGAACGCCATCTGTACTTACATAGAGCCAATACTACAATAATAGTTAAAACTCTATTCGGATTCAATTGATAAATTACGCTACTAAAATTTAACAAGATATAATTGTACATTTTCTAACAGAATAAATAAAAGTTATGAAAAAGCTAAATTTTGTTTTTATAGCTGATTGTGTGAGAGGCATAAAAATAATTACAACTGTAAAGATTTTTTTAACTTGTACCAATAGTAGTAAATATATATTATAACTATTACTTATTAAGTTGAAGCGTGATTCCAAAATTCTTACAATATATTTAATGATTCAAATTTAAATATGTAGATAGGTATGATCAACTGACTAATAAATTACAATATTCACATTAATTACAATATTCACATTCGTCTTCTGGAAAATGATTATAGATAGCAAAATATTTACAATGGGGGCACCAAAATAAACCGTAACGTAATAATTTTTTTACATTTTTGTCCGTTAAAACAAAATGTAACGGTCTATTTCTACGGAATATCTGGGAACCACATCCATAACAACGAGAACAAAAGATAAAATGAGTAAATGACCAGGGCCATTTCAAGTGTGCGCGTATCATTTCGATGAAGTCCATCTTTGATAAAAACTTATCAACATCCATATAATTGTAGATCATTGTTGGGTTTACCTAAAACAAAAGTATTATTTAGATTTAACTAAATTATAAGTCACGCAAATCCTTCTGTTCTTAAAATATAAATTCTTTGAACTAAGTTAGGAGTTTATGATTTTATTATTGATCCCTAAATCCACTGCCATGGCGTACACATTTACAATGAACACGCAGTTTATAGGTCGGGAAGTTCTATAGTCGTCAGATAACGCTGTCACTTTATAAATTATTAATAAAAATATGTGAAAACATTAAAATTTTAGAAGCGCATAAAAATTGTAGTACAAACTTACCTCACATTAATCAGTAAACTCGATTGCACAATGGTTTACAACTGATGAAATAGTTTTATCACCTCAAATAACAATGAAAAAAATGCAATATTAACTCAGCTGTCAAAAACTGCCCCATTGAGTTAATGTGATATATAATCTGTTGTATTATTCGTTCAATACAAGTTGCATCATCTTTAAATGACAATAATACAACGACTACATTATATAAAAGTCATACCTGCGCCATTACTCGACACGAACTCGTCGCGACAATTATCATTACACATCTAGTCGAATCGCCAATGTATATATGACGACTATGCGACTAAGTAGGTATTCATATGACTGTTACACGAAACTCTTAGCATCTTAAGTTGAATAAAATGGGCCCTAATGCCGTCGAGTAAACGTCTTTATGATATTTATACGATTATACCATATAACATTAAGTTGACACCACAACGTCTACTCAACGTCGTAAATGTTTGTTGGGAGTGGCGAATGTAGTGGCCAATAGCATTGGCCAACGTATAGACGGGGTGTTTGGGCTTCATTGGTATGTATTGGAACGATGGCCCACAAGTTGGCGCGAGAACCATGTGGTGTCGGTTTTTTACAAAAGATCAAAGGATTGTTGACAGAGTTTGGTCGCCGCGTCCACACGTTGGCCGCGAGTTTAGTTTGCTACAAGCTCCCGGTGATTACACGCATCTGATTAAAATTTTATATTCACGCTTTGTAGGGTGGATGGCCCAATTACCAGCCTTTTAGTGCCAATTTCAACTTTAAACATTCCTACTACTTTAATTAGCACGAGACAATTATTTTTAAACATTTGTTTTAATCGATAAGCTATTTATAAAAAAAGATAATGAACATTTATTTACAATCAGATTATTACGAGAACAATTTTAAAATGAAAAAAAAAATGAGGCACGTCGTTTATACGTGGTAGAACCATGCAACAGAATATCAATGTAAAATAGTAGCTTAATGATTGTGTGTTTCGTATAGTGAGTGTAGAGACACTTTTTAAATGAAACGAGGCATTTCATCTTAGTCCTCACGGGTGACAACGCATCTGCATTTTGATTCGTAATCGAGGATAGATGTAGATGTCTGTAGGCAACAGCAAACACTTACCATCAGGTGAAGTGTGTGCTAGTTTGTCACCCTATCCTAGATAAAAAAGCGTCGATTTCTTATAATTTAATCGTGCAAGTTTTCGAATCATCATCATCATTACAGCTCTTCACAAGTCCGCTACTGAACATCTTCCTCCAAAGAAAGCCGCAAAGCATGGTCCTGAGCCACTTTCCTTGTCATGAGTTTTTCATTTATGTTCTAAGTTATAATTAGTACCTATTATTAAGTCAGTGTTAATTATATTTATTGCTATTGTTTCCAAAAAATAATTAAATTACAAATAAATTATAAGGTGTTTTTTATATACATCAAATGTCTGATAGAAAAGCAAGTACATGTTTTGCTAAACTTTATAAACAAAACCCAATTTTAAAACCTAGACTTATCGATTATAACTCCTTTAACTTTAAAATAAGTTTAGTTCTAATTAATGGTATTTATTCCAGTTTCTGATGCATGTAAAGAATAAATAAAGCTAATCGTATATCTATTTACAGCCCATTAATATTCACTATTCTTTTATAATTATTTTATAAAAACGTTACCCCCACACTTGGATTTTCTCCTGTATCGCGCAGGCAACTTACAAACATAAATTGCATAAAGACACACATCCAGACCCAAAACAATTATTTGTAGGATATACAAATACTTGTTCCGTGCGGGATTCAAACCCGCTACTCCTAGCACAGTCACTCATTGCCAAGCCACTGCGCCACGGAGCCGTCGTCTAAAATAAAATAAATTCGTCCGCACATAAACGACGTTAAGCCCGGTTTACATTTTGAGAAGTGACAAGTGCGAGTGACAATGACAAGTGACAAATGACAAGTGCTTAGTACGTGTGAACAGGCAGTGACAAGTGATAAGTGCGAAATGAAAAGTAACAAGTGAATAGCGGCCTGCTCTATTCTCTGACAAGTATCTCCGCCCCGCACTAACCTTGCTTTCCGCTCAGTCACCCACCGCCACCCCCGTTCTAGCGGCGACGTCAGAATATACACGTGTTGGTTATAATAGTTATTAAATAAAATATTTTTGTTATATATATTGTATACATACTCATATTTATAATAATTTTGTTTTATTACGAAGTGGTCAGATAGCAATAACATTATATTTGTCAAGGAATTATTGAAACACGAATATTTACACAATATTAAATCGCTGAATTTAAAAAAATAAAATGATGCGAGACGCTGCTATGCCCTCAATATCTCAATCAATGGGAATGGCCGGTTTCGGCGCAAAAGAAGTAGGTATATGTGAAGTTAAGAAGCATTAAGTTTACATATTACCAAGAAAAGAAGAAAATTAAAGACAGGCTTAAATTTTTTCCTTGTTATATAGCTTTAAGACACATTTTCTCACTTAAGCTATTTTAGGAAATTGGTGTGTACCAATATCTTTGCAATAAGACACTTCACACATCTTTTTAATC